AAAAAGTGATATTTTCGACTTCTTGTTAAAAACTGTAAGTCCGATTGCTTTGATACTATTCATATTGTTCATTTTCTAATGATGTCTTCAGTTCTTTAATTGAAATGTGCATTGCTAACAGCGGAGCTATCTAAGCCGATAGGCTGCTTGTTTAGATGTAGGTATTGGCAACTAGAATGTGGATTTATTTAAAGAAAAAAATCACTGAATTGCTTGATTTGTTTAAATTTTCACATGATACATAAAGTACATTCAATTCTAAACCTTCTCTTTTCATTACAGGTTAGAATATTCCGTTTTTTAACAGGTAAAAAAATTAAAGTTATTGATGAATCTTTGGAACGTTTCACTGAGCTGCAGCAAATGAGACAACAGCTGCCTGACATGGAGTTTGGTCGTCGCATGGCAACTGAAAGAGATCTCAGTAAATCGAAATCACTGAAATATTCAAATGTTGGTAAGTCTTCACTTTATTAATCTCAGTATGAACGAAATTGTAAATACTGATTTCAAAGCCCATCCGTTTTAGTCTCATCCGGGGAAATATTAAGCATGACTATATGATGAATGGTATTTTGACCAAATGTTTGTGTATTTTTTTTCAGTTTTTGATGAGAGTAGTAATTTTATAATGTATTCCACAATGCTGGGAATTAAAGTGATCAATCTTCACACAAATCAATGCACACTCACACTTGGCAAGGTAAGTTATACATTTCATCGCAAACATTTCTTGAGTTTTTCAGAAAACCAGAATTAATATGTCGACACTGATAATTTTGTTTTTAAAATATATTCACTCTAGTATATTTTCTGGAAGTAACATGCCTGGACCATTTTGGTTCAAACTTTCTATTTTCATTAACCATAGTAGGTTACTGATAAACATTATTTTGTTTTAGATTTTGATTTTTACAAGTCTTCTACCCATTTCTTGTTTAAATTTTACAGATTTTGTTTAAATTTGGTATAAGGGCAAGACATATCGATTTCCTTGATCTTAACTGACTGATTTGCTGCCATTTATAAAAAAAAAAAAAAAAAAAAAAAAAAAAAACACTGACAATATTTGAACCGTTTTTCACGCTTGCCTGGGCACATTTCATTCAAAATTGGTTTTGTGATTTGATTCAAAATGTTGATTTCTTTTGTTTGTGTCTCAGCCCTGCAAAGTTTGTACAAAGAGTTCAACATCAAGGATCCCCCAATTTCATGAATGCAATTTCTGGTGGAATCACATTGATTTAATAAATCCATGAACACATTTAATAAATCTGTGAAACTTTTGGATTTATTGTCCTAATATCATTATTTCTACACTCCTGAACTTTTACTGTCATGGCATAAATACTACGTTTGTAGTTAATATCATTTATTTTTGTATGTTTGCAGCCAGAAAATGTACGTTTTCTTCATCTTTCATTATTCCAAGGCAAAATTGAGAAAGTACAATCTGCAGAGACTTTGGAGATGAAAGCCTCTGACAATCCAGCATTACAGAATGTATTTACTGACCCAACACTCTTCTGCACGGCATTCAAGAAAAATAGATTTTTCATGTTTACCAGGAGAGAACCACAAGATGTTAAAAGGTACGGCAACTAACAAATCAACTTCACTGCATACGATTGTATGATAATGTGATGAAAGGCATACTTGGTCTTGCAAAATATATTTACAATTCAAATAGCGAAGATTGACATAGATTTGGTAATTGATGAATGAAGTTTATTTCACTATAAAACAGATAATAATATACAAATGAATTTGATATACTAGTATAAACAAATGAGTAAATAAAATTAAGTAAATAAATGTATAATTTGAATTTTAAATATATATTTATTTAAATTGCTTATAGTGAGGATCACAGAAATAATTTCTGGAACTAGTTTAGTCTGTGACCCTTGAAAAGAACAAACAAATTAAACAGTACATTATATATAAGTACATACGATAGTTTTGTAATAAATTAAATAGACACAAAAGAGAAAAAAAAATAAACTGATTAAATCATTTTTTACTCCTGTGTGCGAAGCACAAAAAGGGAGTCTTTGCAGTTAGTGTGTGTGTCTGTCTGTGTGTGTGTGTGTGTGTGTCTGTTCCACTGATATCTCAAGAACCATATATTGATTTCTGGACCAATGCGCAAATTTTGGTAAAAATCCATGCATATTAATTACCTAATTTGCATGATAATTAGCGGATTTTTAGCTGTTCCATGACTGTTTCACTGATATCTAATGAACCACTCATTGGATTTCGATGAAACTTGGCACATAGATGCTCCAAACTAATGCGTAGATTTGATTAGTTTTGGGTAAAAATGTGTGCAATATTAATTACCTAATTTACATAGTGATTAATCAATTTTCAGCTTTCCACTGATATCTCAAGTACTAATCATTACATTTCAATAAAACTTGGTACATAGATGTCATAGGACACTGCACAAACCTGATAGTTTTTAGGGTAATATCAGTAGATATTAATTACCTAATTTGCATAATTAATTTTCAGCTTTTGATATTTCAAGTAGTAATCATCACATTTCAATGAAATTTTATACATGTCATAGGATACTGCGCATACCTGATTATTTTTTGGCTGAATATTTGTGCATATTAATTACCTTATTAGCATAATTAAGTAATTTTGAATTAATTTTTAATGTTTTTCAATACTCTCAGCACGCGGGAGTTCTTTCTAAGCTTTTTTTGATTTTCTATTGCTTGGAGAAAAAACAACTTAATCATACATAATCATAACAGGAACTATAAACTTACAAAAGAAAAATATACATAAAAAACATATGAAATAAAATTATAGTGGACATTTTGTCTTTTCACTGACTTATGAGAGCATGTTTTAATTTTGATTTAAATGTGTGCCTGTTCATTACGTTTTTGATTGTGCTAGGAAGGGAATTCCAATGGTTTGTTGCAATAAATTTTATTGTTTTTTGGCATAAAGTTAGATTCATTTTGGGGATATAAAAACTATCAGTCATTACGAGATGTGTAGCATAATTGTCCAGATAATGATTTATTATCCTATGTGCAAAACAACTATTTTTTAGATAAAAAACAAATGCATGTATTAATGATTTATGCGAATTTATGTTTAGTGCTGATGCTGAGAGAGATGTCTTCAATGAAAAACCAACCAAGGAAGAAGTAATGGCAGCTACACAGGTGATATACAGTGATTAATTTACCTTCTGAAAAAATGTCAATGAAGTTGTATATTGGATGAAGACATTGTTTTTGCCCATCGTGGAGTTGTCATGGTAACAGGTGTTATTTCATTTCAGAATCCACTGTTGAGGATATCTGAGAATGTGATAATTCATA